GGGGGGGGGGGGGGGGGGGGGGGGGGGGGGGACACGCCAATTTCCATCAGTCCCAAGCAGCCAGGCCAAAGGTCAAGGATGATGGGAGTTTTATACCAGCAGTGCCTTCGTCTACCCATCTCTGATTTAGCTGCTCCAGATTTTTAATTTTGACTTAAAAAAAAAGACACCTCTAGTTCTCTACAGTTTGGGGGACATTAAGGACAGTTTCCAGAGGGAAGCAGCCCGATCAGTATTTCGCAGCTAAACCAGTGAAGACTTCTGTGCAATTCCGGCACTTCCTACAATCAAAATTAAATCCTTGGAATTGTTATGCAGCTGTTCCTGAATGTATTTGAGATTGTTTTTTTCTTCCAGTCCTTTGTTCCTGTGTGTATTGTTTAGCCCAAGTCAACCTGGATTTTAAGATTCCTTTGCAGTTTAAAGGCAATTATTTGTTAATATTAACCCTGTTAATAGGAGGCTGACTTTCTTCCGGACAGTGTACGCCAAATGAGGATTATAAGATGTTCAACCTTTAGCGTCATACTGTTATAAATAAGAAGGAAGGAAACAACATTTCATGCAATTATAATGGTCCTAAAATAATTTTGATTCAGCAGCGCACCTTTTCCGCTGTACAAACTTTGTATTATAGAGATCTTAGCAGAGGAGAATATTCTGAAGTCACCTTGGGCCAAATATCTCTGTGCGAGTGTAGAGTGTTTTTTTCACTTTATGCTGAGTTTGATCTGAAAGTCAGTCTTCCGATCAAGCGGCACCCTCCAGTTGGGTTGAGCTACGCTTCCTAATGTCTAGCTAGTGTGCTGGGGTGATGTGAGGTGTAGTCCAAAGCACCTGGACGGCACCTGTTGGAAAAGCTGCCTCCTGTCTCTAGAACTGCTGTTGAGTTATGGATCACCCTCTCTCTCCAGGGTTAAACTCAAGTTCAGATATCTGTAGACCAGGTTTGGGCACAGAGCCTTTCGGATGAGTGGGAACGCAGATCAAGAGGAAGGTGAATTCACTGTCTTTGATCCTTTCTATTTCCATTAATTTCATTTGATCTTATTTTTGCTCGGGTATTACCACTTTTTAAAGTTGGCCTGAAAACCGATGTGTGCTTTGGCCTCGCCGATGCCAGTTTCTCACCCCGTGAACCTACACAGGTTGGCGAGCCCGTCCGGCCATGCACGTGTATGTTTGCACCAGTGATTGGTTTGGAAAACTGCGTGGCAGAATTCTGGGAGGTGGAAATGCGACAGACCTCCCGGAAGAAGCAGGCGGCTGAACTTCAGGGTGGCTGTGCCAGGCCCTGGCACCTAGAAACAGAGGAGGAGGTGGGTGCCTGATGCATTCTTCACCATGGCAATCCCTGTTGGGGCTGCTCCTTCTCAAGGGGGTCTAGGACACGGAGCGGGTTGGGGGAGGCGCGCAGCACGGCCTGTTCCCGCAGAAGAGAAGCAGAGCATCTGTTGGAAAAGCAAGCTTTCCTGGGCAGGCTGTTGCCAGGAGCTGGGGCCTGGAGGGGTTCCTCCCGTAGCCCCCCCGCTTCTGAATCCAGTGTGGGCAGGAAGCCAGAGGGGTGGGTGTCCATCATGGCAGAACAGGTGGCCTTCCAGGGAGAAGGGGAAGGGGAGCGTGGCTGGGCAAGGTCTGCCTCAGGAGGCGGATACTGATCGGCAAGAACTAGACGCAGACGGCTGGAAGGGGGCACGGAGACCATCTAGTCCGACCCCCCATCCACGGCAAGAAGCCAGATGAAAGTACCCCCAATGGAGGGCTGTCCAGCCTCTGCTTGAATTCACCCACCAAAGGGGAAGCCGCTTCACTCCGGGGTTGTTGGCTCTGCTGTGCAACTGCGCTTGCTGCGTGTTGCATTTAAGGCGTCCCAGAGCAACCCAATTGCTCTGGGTGTTTTCTAACGTTCAGTTGGAAGCCGCTCCAGATCTGTTTCTCCACGTCCTGCTCTCTGGCCCTTGTCTTTCCCCCCCAGGTCTTAAAAGGGTTTTATCGATATTTCTTCGGATGCCGAACTTCATTTCTCAAGGCTAAATGTTCCCTGTTCCTCCGCTTTTTTTCACTGCGCTTAGCTTTGCCTTGAAATCCAAAAGTTTTATTGGATTTTGTTTATTAATACAATCTCAACACCGGCACCTTTCCTTTAATGTTTTAAAGAAAGCGTAGGAGATTTCAGGCCTGCCAAAATCTTGAATTCTCCAGAATGCCTCTAAGGAAGGGAAGGAAAGATGAGACTTGTAAGACAGGGGCGGGCTTCTCCTCTCCATCAACTATTTTGTAGGAGCATCCCCCGAAGTCCCAGGACTGCACGAAGCCCAGGAAATGTGTGTAACTTCCCGGAAGGGCACTGCTATAAATAGTGAGGCTTTTAAAGCTCTTTAAGATTTTAATTGGAATCTCATCTTCTTTTGCTGCATTTCCGTTCTCTATTCCTCCCTCCCCAGAATAGAACTCAAAGGGGGTTGTTTGCAAGCAATTAGATTGCTGGATCTTCTCTAAGTTTTTGGTGTAAGTTTTAATAAAGCTTAAATGGTTTGTCCCTCTCCCCTGAATGGCTTGTGAATGAGGTTTTGATTCTTTTCTTTATTTTCTTCCCGAAGAAAGGCAGAGTAGGGACACTCAGATAAATATATCTAGGCAATCGGAGGCACAAAGGAAATTAATCCTCCATATTTAGCCTCTCCAGGGGTCCCAGCGAAATGGGAGGTAGGCGCATTCCTGTTTTCTACACTGAACTCTGCATTGCCATCTTCATTCTTGGTGAGATGAACGGGGCCCCAGAGTCATTCCTAGAATGGCCTTCTGCCTTTTCACCCACCCTTGTGTAAACTCTCAACTGTCACTTGTGAACTGGTGTCCGTCCATCCCTTGAAGCACCCAAGGGAGTTCTTGCAACGGAAGCGTTCAGCCCAAGTGGGGTTTTTTGCTTCCACCTTTGCTGCTGTGTCTTCGGAGGGGGAGGAACAGGAGGTTTCTGTCCAGGGATGGGCATCGGCCCTGAGGGCACCTGCTGGACCATGCCTACCCAGATGGAGGGTGCTGGGCAGGTGTTTGTTGGTGCCAGCCTCAATTTCCCTTCCAGGCTCTCCAGTGATTGGCTGCCTGCCAGCTCAGCTTCTTTGAAGTCCTCCTTTTGTCCAGAAGGAGGACCTCTTGATCAAAAGTGGTCTTCGGAAGGCAGTGAGTGACAGAGGTGGGGAGACTGGAGACGCACATGGAGGCAGCCATCAGGCCAGTTGTATTTCCAACATGGAAGTCTCTTCCTATGGAGCAAAACCATTCGATGCATATTCTGGGCTGGCTACTGTCCCAATGGATGCTTGGCTCTAAAAGCTGGACTTGTTATGGCTCCCCGTGACAAAGGTCGCCCGGAAAGCGGTGCTCCCTGACAAGCTTCTGTGGAGGCGTAACTCAAGTGGTCTTTCCCTGACAGAATGTTCTCCCCCCCCCTTGTTGACATGGAAATGGACAACACGCATCTGTAGGTTTACAGCTTCAATCGCTTTCATTCTCTTTGCATGTCGAAGCAAGCGCAGGAAGACTTTGGGTGTGCGTCGCACCGCTGTAGGGAAAAAAACGCAGACCAGAAGATGTGCATCAGCAATTCAGCACTCCACGGTGGTTTTTACCACCCACCCCACCCCACCCCCAAAAGAAGAAGAAAGCAAAGCTCCCCAAAGCCCCACCTTTCTCCTCCTCGCAAGGGAAAAGGGAAAGGAAACTCCATCTGAACCGCAGCCACCAAGGAGCAGGGCTAATGATTTACTTTTGTCAGCTGATTATCTCCTCTGGAGCACAAAAGGCAGGGCTGGGAACAGGAGGCTGGGGAGCAGGAATTAGCCCCATCTTTGGAAATAGGCTCTTTCCCTTGGAACTAGCCTGGTTGGGCTTTGGAACCCATGCTGGGGTTTCCTGGAAGAGCTGCAGAGAAGGGAGAACGCTTGGGTGGGGTCCAAGGGCTTAATGGGCGACCAGTTTAATAGCGGTATGGATTCAGCTGCCCCTCACCTGTAGCAATGGGCTGCTTCTCTCTTGAAAGGAGCTGCACGGGTGCCTGAGCAAAGGTGGGCCCTTTAAAAGAACCCATTCTGGGTTGATTTTGCCTGGCCGAAAAGCTGAGGCTGACAAAGTTTTGGCTTGTTTGCTTGTTCTCACCTCATTGGAGCACCACAAGTTGCCAATTGGAGCAGGTCTGTAGAGCAGAAGCCTCCAGGCTTCTCAACCAGGTGTCTTAGAGAGGTGTCCCCATCATCCCCTGCCACCAGCAGAAAAGCTAGACTAAACCTTTTGGCCTCTTATTGGAAAGTTAACCAAGCTGGCCTCAGAAGAGAGAGAGCTCTGTTGTAGAAAACCCTAAAGCCCTTGAGTATTTTGTAAGCGAGTGTCTCACTGGATCACATCACAAGGACTGTTTTGTCTGAACTTCCGTCTCAAATGGGGAACAGCTGGATGCCTCTGGGGATCTCTTCAGCAGAATAGGAATACAGGAGCTCTTCTCCTGTGGCTTGGCTAGCCACTGAGAGACCTTTCTACCAGCCTCACCCATTGTGCTAAACCATCCTAGTTCAGCTTTGGATTAGCATGTCACACAAATCCAGCCTGTGATTTAGGACACCCCATAACAAACCATGGCAGGGTAGAAGTAAGGCTGTTGACCTCCATGAACATCCAGCCCTTGTTCAGAGCTTCCCAAGCAACAATGGCCCTTCTTGAATTTGGGAGTCTGGTAGCACCTTTTCAGACTCACAAGTTTATTAAAGGGCATCAGCTTTCATAAGCTCCAGCTTTCCTTCTTAGCTACCATTTCTCTTTCTTCTCTCCTTCATTCTAGAGCTTGCATACGACCTGGACAGTGAAGGCACTCCTTCAAACAAGCAGCTTGTGAATCAACAAAGCAAAGAGACTACAACAGGTCACAGCCTCGGTGCCAAGGATCCAATGCCGAATCTTCACCTGGTGGCAACTGTCATAATGTTGTGGCTTTTTCTGACGGCCAAATGACTTGAATTAACTCTCGGCCGTGGTCCAGGGTGAATCTGTGATCGTTTGCGTTGTGAAAATGCCCTACAAATCTTTTGTCCTTCTGAGGCACTTGGAAAGAACAACTTTGGAAATATGACTGAATTTTTTTTAAAGAAAAAATAATAAGCATTTCCAAGAAGAGCTTGTTTTAGGTCTGGCAAAAAAGACCAGTGCTTGTATTTTAAAGAATTTGCATTCAATTACGAAAGGGTTCAAAAAATACTCAACTTGTATCACCTATGAATTTTGTGAAGATGAACGTTTTTCCCACTGCTGTCTAGAACGACAGCGACGCGCTGCGTCCTCAGTGAATTGGAGTGAGCAAAACAGTTACCGGATTAAACACCATCAGCAAACTTTTTAAAACACACTTCGTTTTGGTCTTGAGATCAAAACCCAGCTTGCAGTGGGAGCAGGAAACAATTCCAAAACCAAGAATGGTTCTGCGGCCTGGAAGTGTTGCTCTGAGATCTGGCTTTGGCATTGCATTAATATTGGTGGCAAAATTGACATGAGGGTAGCAATTTGGACGGTTGACTTAACACTGGATTCTGGCTATGAATGAGCTGCGTATTTATTTTTTAAAAGGTAGTCAATTTTAGATGGGCTCTCAACTGCAGAATTGCCCATATTTTCTTAGACAGGACTAATGCAATGCACACGTGTGGCTGACAGGAGGGTGGCGGATAATGGGCCATTCCAGAGCTATCGTCCAGCTTCAGAAGATGCTCAGATGTTTTCCAGAAAGTCAACAGGAGCGAGCATGCTTTTGTAATTTTTTTTTTTTTTAATATTCTGTATCACTTTGTCTGTTAATATATTGTGTTCTGAGGCTGTCTTTTGAGCATGGAAATGGGAATCTCTCAGAGGCCACCATAGCCCCCCATTTGGCTGCTGTGGAGATTTTTTTTCTTTTTTATACTGTAATTTGCATCAGAAATATGATGAGATGGAGACAGGGAGAACGGTTTTTTCTTCGTCTTTAAAAATAAATAGATTCTGCCATCATTCGAAGGCTGTTGATCACATGCATCGCTATCTTGCGTTTTTCTGGTCGTGTGTGTGAGTGCGCGTTTGCACATATGCGTGTGCCTGTGAGAGGAAGAAACAGCTGTTTTGAAAGTTCTGGAATAAATGCAGTGCTATCACCATGCATTTTTTTCCAGAGCATATTTTGCAGCTTACACCCTGTTTAGAAGTATCCACATTTGGTGATATTCAAGCTGATAGATGTCTATTTGAGATCCAGTTCCAGCTTTCATATTGCTAAGAGAAGAAGGGAGAAGAAAGGAATTTTAAGTGGGAACAAATGTCAGTAGAGGCAGATACCTTGCGATGATTCCCTCAAGCCGGTTAGAAGACATTCTGTGGTGATTCTGTTTTTCCTCCCTTCACAATGCAGATTTTTTTGGTATTTAAAAAGACAGAAGAGTTGGTGGGAAAATATTAAAAGGCTCACCCGTTGAAGCTAAAATGCAGAGAGATTCAAGCCTGGGGAAATGAAATCCTTTGCAGGCATCTGATGAAAAAGTAGACTTTGCTGATAGCAGATCTGGGAACGTCTCAGTTTAGAGTTTTAACAGGGACAACCCAGGGAAGATACGGCCATCTGGGATCAGACGTGCTCGAACAGCCTTCTAGGGTTGTAGCTGCAAAAATGTTTCTTGCTTGATCGGCTGACTTGATAGTGGCAGTGCTTGGGGTGTCTTTATTATTTTCATAGATTGGAACTCAGTGGGGCTTATATCTGAGAAGACTCCCCTAGGAGTACAACGCAAATGAAAACCATCCTTTGAGGATGGTTTGACGAGCCCCACTTGGTCTCATCTCTTTTTTCAGAGCCCTTCCAGTGAGTTCCCAACATTACCGTCTCCAGCTCTTGTCACTGACCATGCGTTTCCTATTTTGGGGCCAAAGGACTCTCCAAAGACAAAGATGTATGTGGTTGCAACAATTCTACCCAGGCCAACATAAGGAACTCAAGGGCAGCAAGCAGAGAAGAAAGTACAGGTTGTCCTCAACTTATGACCACAATTGGGACCAGAACTTCTGTCACTAAGCGATGCAGTTAAGTGAGTCATGCCCAATTTTACAACCTTTTTTGCTGCAGTGGGTTAAGTAAATCACACAGTCGTTAAGCAAACCCTTTGACTTTGCTTGTCGGAACCCCCCTGGGAAGGTCGCAAATGGTGATCCTGTGACCCCAGGACGCTGCAACTGTCGCAAATACACGCCGGTTGCCAAGCACCTGAATTTTGATCACATGACTGCAGGGACACTACAACTGTCATAAGTGAGAGGACAAGTTGTAAGTCACTTTTTTCAGCACTGTTGTAATTTCAAATGGTCGTTAAATAAATGGTCATAAGTTGAGGACTACCTGTAGAATTAATCATGCTTTGGACTTGGCACGGGCTTAGGTGAGCAATAAGAGTGTGAAGAGTTTTCCTTGGCAAAACGAGGAAGAAATTATGGAATGCACACGAGATGAACCCCAAATTCCTCCTTTCGTGTGATTGGGGCACTTCCCTTATAGAAAGAGAAGTAGATATGTATTGAAAAAGCTGCTTTGTTGTGGGGAGTGTGAGGTGAATGTGGCTTGAATTTGTTTAGGATTTCCTTCCTTCTCCAGCAAAGCGTGTGTGCAGAGTATGTACCCACCAGAGGTGGGTCTATTGGTTGCCTGGTGTGCAAAAACGCTTTATTCTGCTTTGCCGGATTACAGTGTTTCTTTCCACATGAGTCAAACTGCTGGTCTTGATCTCTGTAGAGCTGGGGAAAGTTCAGGGCAATTTTTCTTGAGTTTCTTTCTAGATCTTGTGGGTATGTTTTCTTCCATTCATCAACAGACTCGTGCCCTTTTGCCAGCTAAAAATTAGGCTGATCCCAGCTTTGGTTGTAACCCTTGGAATATTAAGCCTTGCTGGGCATATCATGAGTATATTTTTCCCCTCGTGAGCAATATTCCCTATAGAATAAAAGAGAAGAGTTTAGGACCTTACACGTGGCCTTCACCCTTGGCACTAAACCACAACTTGTTGAAGAAGCCGCCCTTGGATGCTAAGGCCAAACCAAGCCACATCACCATTGCATAGTCTAATGCGTGAAACCAATACACCGAAAGGTCTTCTGATGCTTTTTCCTGGGTGTTCAGCATTTTAGGAAGAAGTTAAATCTTGGGTCCTCTCATTTTACAGGTTCCTAAGAATCATCTGCTGTTGATTTCCATCTTGCTGTTCCAAGAAGTGCAAGCTGGAATGAGCAGCAAGCCCCAGCCGCTTCTTGGAAATGGGGCAGATCAGAACTCCATGCCATTAGACTACCCGGATTTTCAGAGGCCCCTGTCCTTGGTCCCGGGTCCAACCTAGCAGCAATTGGGAATTTAATGACAGAGTTTGGATTGGTGTGTTTCTATTCTGTGGCCTACACCTCTGCTTCCCTGGGTTTTAGCCTCTTCTGCAGCTGGTTGGTTCTGGAGACTGGCAGCTTCATCAAAGACAATCAGAGGCAGGGGTCATCGTCTTCCCCATCTTTCCTCAATGCTGCTTTTTTGCCTTTCTAAGAGAGCTGGGTTGGGATCTCAGCCGCCTTTCTAAAAGCCGCAGAACCCAAAACGTGAACTACAAAGGACAGTCTGTCTGGACGGGGTCCAGCCAATGCTAGAAGCGAACGTGTTGTCTTTCTCGTCTGACATCTGCTGGCCTTCAAGCATGTATACTTTTACTTGTTGGGTATCCTTTGGGGAGCAGGGAGGTGGGTCTTTGTGCTGACCCCCTCTGCTGCTGCACATTACAGAAGGAGACGGGACAGCTCTGTGTAAGGATGGAATGGAGTGGGAGTGAGAATACAATACAGTACAATACTATGAATTAGAATCAGAATTAGAACTGAATATGCCCATAACCAGCGTAAGAATCACCAGTCTGCTTCTGTCATCTCCTCCTGCACTGTATAGAAATCTTTTTTCTGATCTCTGGCTGTAAATTAATACAGTTAAGTTAAACTCAGGGTGTGATTTTGGGGGCACCCCATCTCACACAGTAGGTGTGTTTCCAAAATCCAGGCTTACTCTAAGAATGTTGTTTGTTGGAGTTTGGCTTAGCCACTGTGGCTCATAAATTGAATTAGACAGCCTAGCGTGAAGCCTGCTAGCTGTGGTTCAATCAACAAGCCGTGATTCAGAAAACTCTGGCTTGGCATGGGTTGTAAACCCAGCCTAAGAAAGGAGCACACTTTGACCTACTTCTCCCCAGCACCAACTTCCAGTAGCTTGCAACACAGACTGCCGGGATCACGCTCACCATCCTGATAGTGATCTGCAAATGTCTGCCCTGTGGCTCCCATTGACTTTTACACACACACACGCACACACACGCACACACTTATCTGGGTAATTACTAATCCTCTTTGCAAGCAGCAAAGCCATTGATTAGTTTAGACAGAACAAGAAATGGGAGTCATTATTCCTTATTATAAACCAGTCCTAAACCAGCAGTTGCAGCCAAAATCTTGAGCCTGCAAACAAAGGCCTGCATTTTGTCAGCGTCCAAGTATATTATTAAAAGGGAAAAAGAAAATGCGTGTGTTGCCAAGAAGGAAAAATCAACTCCCGGTGAACAGACACCAGAGAAGTTGTTTAATGATGCCCGTCAGATGACAGCGGTGGACATTCTGCCCCCAAAGGGGGGTTAATAGAGTGACCTTCCTCTTGGCGTGAAATGGCGATCGAGGTGCGTCTGCAGCCCACCAGCCCTCGGTGGCTCTGGCCCGGCTTGCATGGGAGAGGTGGGAGCTAAGTCCTGTCAAGCAAGTAGCCCCCTCCCCTAAAGAAAAGAGTCTTCATCTGGACTGCATTTCGAAACAAATGCCAAGCATTCCTGTATTAATTTGAGCTCCCTGCCAAACGCATTCCACGGGGGAAGAGCAGATGCGGAGTAGTCAAAGATGGAGATGAAGGAGTGCAGACATGCGGGGTGGGGTGGGGGGAATATGTACCACTTGGAGGAAAAGCTACTGAGATCTTTTTTGGAATTCCCACACGCTTGGGTGGCTTTTCCCAGCATGAATGGAAAACGGTTTGGAAGAGAAAATCTGGCGAGGTGGTTCGGGGCCTGGGCTGGCTTTTCTCGTTCAGCCAAACTCTGTTTGGCTGGCCTTAGTGGGTAAACCTGGGTGGCTCTGATGCGAATCCAATAAGCCATGGTGAAATGTCATGTGTAAACCCAGCAGGATCGAAGGCTGTTGTCCTCGGGATCCTCTCTGCACCCAGATGCCCGCCGTTGGAAGCGAGGTGGAGGTGGAGACGCCATGTACTTGGCACATCCTCAGGAGAGCTGTTGCTGATGAGCTACGGTGGCAAGCAAGTGGCAGATGATCCCGCGAGATTATTCCCGTCTCTAAGCGGGCCAACCTGCTGAAGGCAGGCCCTTCCCAACTGGCTGCTCAGCCCCAAACTAGTGCCACTTTGGGGTGGGGATACGATGCCTCCAGAGTGGGATATAGGCCTAGATCTGGATGGATGTTGGGAATTGCAACCACCTGTCAGATTCTACTCTTGAATTTTACCTGCAGACAGTTTTCACCGCAGGCAAGACCGCAAGCATCTTGTATCCTAAAACGTTCATTTCCAAGACTGTTTTCTAAGAGCCTTTCGGATCGGTGCATGAATTAACCGCGTCTTTCTCTTCTCTGGCACGCTGCAGATCAAATTACTGTCCTTAAGAAGCGGAGGCCTGGCAGAAGCAGGGCGGAGGATCAGGAGCAAACGCCATGCTTTTTCAGTCCAAGGCTGAGCCATGTCAACCGTTCTAAAAACTCCACGCAGCCCGACTGCTAGCCAGTTTAGGGCTCCGGCAGTTTATCTAGGATATTTCCACCTTTCGGAAGTTTGTTGACTTAAGCTGAGTTTGAAAACTCTGGCTGGCACCTTCATGGTGATTGTGGTTTTTCATAAAGAGGCTGGGATGCTTCAAAGCTAATAAACCTACTGGTGTGAAAGCTTGGGTGGATCAGGGACTGCCCCTAAAGTGTTACCTTGCAGCGTCTTTGCTTTAGCGGGCAATGCAGGGCAGAGGATCTGTCTGCGAATTAGCACACAGTTCCAGACCAGCTTGTCTGTATAACGGCTAGCACTGCTGTTGAAAAGTTGCTTCTATCTTAGATTGTTCTAAGCCACCATGTGGCATGCCTTGGGCTAAGTGCATTGCGCGCACCCAGCTATTTGTGGGGTATTCAAGA